GAATTCGGCTCGTAGCAAAGTGTGGTACGTATCAACAGGTGTTGATCAGTAAGAGCGGCAGTCTTGAATCGATACCCTCCAGCGGTAACTGATAGTGATGTGGTCGATTTGGGTTCAGCGCTGTGAAGAGGTTAGACAACTTATCATAGTCTAACCGTCGATGTGTCACGTTTGGAACGCCCACCGAAGCACATGGACAGCTTGGCGCAAACTAACGTGTGGTTGGATTCGAACGGAGTGTTCCAGTACGACCGGCAGTCCTGTATACAGCGCGCCATTTGTCGCTTATAGCGATGTGGTCGACCTGCGTCCGTCTCTGACTCGAGGAGAGCGGACGCCAAGTGGCGTACCGGCAGTTGGATCGTCTGAAGTTTGTACTGGTGAGGAATAGGCGGTGGTTAGAACAAAGAGCCAACAGCCGTTCCCCGTTTTCCGAGCGACAGGAATCTAGTGTGAAATGACCACCAAAATGCGCCTCACTCTAGCGTTCATATCTCCTGCTAAAATCACGATATCAGCCCGACTCGCTTTAGGCAAGAGGTTGTGTAGATGATGATAAACTTCATCTTTGACTGCATCTGGGCTGCAGTTCGTCGGGGCATACGCCGACACGACAAACAGGTTTCGTCTATCGGGGCGACGGCCGTTTACTTCACTCGCACCTCTAAGTCTCACTGCGCACAACCTACTGTCGATTGGGAACCAGTCCAGGAGCGCGGTTTCAGCTCTCTCATTGACAGCCACACCAACGCCAGCTAAACCGGAAGCCCCGGCCTCAGGGTGCCCAAAGAGGCGTAATTGGAACTTCACTGATGGGTTTTATGGGGACGTTAATCGGATAATGCAGCTGGAGTCTTGAATGCGAGTCTCTTGGATACAACACACATCGATGGCTAGGGTCTCCAGCGTACGAGCTCAACCGGCCTGTTGTCCTATATGCTTCGGAGTGTGCACATTAAATGTGGCTTTTTTGAATGGGCATCGAGATCGAGGAAGGGTTTCAGTTGATGGAGGATTCAATGAAACTTGGACGGTAGTCGAGGTAGGACATGACAGAACAGCGGCAGAGTTTCCATCTGAGGCACTAATGTTTGCCCGATCGTCTGAAGATACCACGAAGGGGGGTGGATGTGGGATGGGGGAGGGCTGGGGGGGGGACATAAGTGTGTGTACAGTGTAGGGTGTTAGTCTCTAGTTGCAGAAATTGTAGACTGGATGCACATAGCAGTCGATGAGTTCATCGTTGCTGGCGTCGTGGGCTGTTGTACTACTCGGTCGCTCGATCCAAAGAAGGCCTTGTTCGAGGGTGTTTTCTAGCCTTTGCGCAACCAAGCGCGGACTGCAAGGCAGCAGCGATATTCCAGATAAGCCAGTGGCCAGTATTTGGTTCATTCGCCTCTTCTGGAACCTTGCCGAACAATAGATTTCAAGAAGGGGCGATGGCCATATTTAGTGGCGGGCCACACTCGCCACGTCACAGCGCCGTCCACAGATGTGTGGTGTTTTGTGCGGAGTACTGTTGCCAAGAAGTAAAACCACCACATCCTCGAGCGCTACCGCTGATCGTCCGCGACCGCCTAATCGGAAAGCCGGAGTCCACCTTATTCACGGTTAGCTGTGAGATGACGGCCGTTCCCCTATCCGCTACCTGGGGACGCGCTCGGTAGCATACAGCTCTGCTATCCCACTTAGGAGTAAATCGATACCGCTGTCCTCGCCCGAGGATAGGGGTGTTTCACGAATTAAATCTATAATAAAGTTGAATAGAAACGGAGAGGGAGGGTGATCCTGACGAACACCCTTTTTGTAGTGAACTCGGGCGAAAATTGGTGTAAGCTCGGAGTCGGCTTCGGCTGTGTAAAGGGGTTGTAATATTGAAATAAAATCAGACACATCCTTCAGGGCGAGGCAGCGCCAGAGTTTAGAGCGGTCCACTGAGTCGAAGGCCGCTTTCAGGTTGAGGGATAGAAATGGTGGGTCTACGAGAGGAGTGTTTGTACTGGAGAATTTGACAAAGAGTGCGAATGTGATCTGTACAAGCTTGGTCAGGTCTAAAACCAGTCTGGTTCTCACGTGTTCATATGTGGTAGACGATCAACGGAGTGTAATGCCAGGGAGATTGTTGGTCAAATTAATTCCTCTGTGGTTCTTCCCAGATGCTCTGTTGTCTTGTCAATTAGTATGATCACCGATTCCCACCATCCAGTTGGGACCTGTTCCTTCCCATACTGAACCCAAGAGTTTCGTTAATTCCAAAACCAAGGCTGAACTTCCTTAAAGCCGATGGGGCAACCCATCCGGGTTAGAAACCTTATACTTTTTGAGATAATTTATTCCCCGGGTAACCTCCATTTCAGATGAAAGACTGATTCCAACTAGCAGTGTTTGCTCAGTTGAAGTATGGGGAGGTCTTATGTCGACGAGGGCCAGTTGAAATGTGCTTTACAATGTTCTACCCTTCTTTCTTGCTGAGTATGAGTCAATGTGCCGTCAGACTCATTAATTACCTCACACCTACTTTCCTTGGACTAGTGCTCCTAATTAAACGAAAAATGTTGCGACTAATACCTATAACCGCAACCTTCATCTCTCTTCACTTTTCCATCCTCCACTTCTAGCGGTCATTCCTCAAATTCTTGATGAGGCGGAATTTAAGGGATTTGCGCGCTTTGTTGTTTTTGCATCAGAAGGAAAAGCTTTTCGAGTGTCCAGCATGGCAGCCGAGTTCAAGGAAAGCCGTCGTTCTGACTTTGATCGTGCTCCCAAATCCACCGTTGTTTTGATTGGTATTTGGATCGTTTCCTTGCTTGCTGTCCAGTATTCACTGAGTCCTCCGGCTGATGGTTGAGTTCGTAGGCCATCAGATGGTTCGGCTTCAAAGGCCGATTTACAACCATTGCTAAAACGAGACTGCGCCTTGGCGTGGTGCGATGGCTTCCGCACCTCAATGACCCTGCGAGCTATACAGGATGGCTCCTCAGCCGCAGATCCAATCATGCCTGAAGGGTCAACGACCAGACGAAGATCAGTCTCACAAGACCAGCTGCTTGGGCACCTCCTGACCTCCCTTGAATATTCACTCCAGCCCCTGGAGGCCAATCCAGCAAATCTAATCAAGAGCAATTGCCATGATTTTTCTGTTCCCTTAGATCTACATAGATATGAAAGTGACTTTTTTAATACCACCAAATCTGTTTGACCGAGTTTTCTATTAATTTCAGATGGCTTATACACTTGAGATAAACTACTACTCCAGCTGTTTGATTTCGCAAAATTTTAAAATATACTTGCAGTAATGGCGGCAGCATCCAGATGAATGAAATCATGGCACCTCCTCAACATCGATATGAAATTGGGCAAAAGTTGCTGTGTTTCGAACCAGACACTTCTAAAGCAAAAGTCATATATTTTGCCAAGGTAAGAATGCTTCGCAGTTCGGTTTACCTTCGCCTACCTTTCTCTGCAGATATTAAAACAAGTAGAGAATAATAAGTCCACTGTTCCCCACTACGCAGTTCATTTTCATGGTTGGAAATGCAAATGGGATCGTGAAGTGCCAGAGAATTTGTTGCTTGAGAATACCGATTTTAATCGCACTTTGAAAAAAAGAATCGACGAAATTGTTCATCATGTATGGAGGTTTATCAGTCGCTGATAATACACCTGTTTGTTCCTAGGAACGATCCCGCACAAGGCGTAAACAACGCATTGATATGGTTCTTAAAGCAGCAGCCCTTGCCGGGGACAATCTGGACTGGGACAATGTGCCCGGTGTTTGGATTCCAAAAAATAAGCAAGAACGTGCGGAATCGCCCTTTCCTTGTCCACAGTCGCCTTCTGATCGCACATTTTCGGAGAAAGCTGCTAGCACAGTATCGGAAGACATGGACAGCGAACTTATGGACAACGAAAATGTCACTCAATCCCAGTTTGAAAATCTGCAGGTATGTGATATATTCAGCTCGAAAAAAGATTTTGTTGATGACTTACTGGAAAAGCCTAATTATAAGTCTTGGCCTAGGATTCATGTTTGTTATGTCATGAATTTAGTCGTGAACAGAGCAAATAAAGCATGAATTGAGAATCACTGGACAACTCTCTCGATTTGTTACATGTATTATGGTATTAGGTAGAACATGTGCACCCGATTTCAGTTTAGACAACCATGAACCGTGCACTTTCGTGCGATGGTTTTGGTTGCTTTCTTTTGACTGCCCTTTTGGATAACGGTACAGACGAAAGGTTATGTTGAAAGCAAGGTGAACATAGAAAATTCAGGTAGTTTCACTTGGCAAGACCTTTGGATACTTAGTATTTGACTTTGAGGATTTGATACGGGCACCAGTGCTCTAATAATGATCTTCTCGGTGTCCTCATCTCTTAAGATCAATTCGAGCCTTGAGGTTTTGCTTTTCATCGCATCAGATTTTCTTATAACCCAGAGAGACTCATGGTTGGCCCAAACAAAGGAGACCCGGGGCTTTTACCGTAATAAACAATCTGAGTCAACTGATTAACCTTCCCACATGCGTCCTGAATCGTTAAACCCTCCGCACACCCTTGGTCTTGTTCCCGCCTCCTTCGATGTAAACCCCTCTCTCCTTGTGGCTCGTAGGTCGATTGTATCGATTCCTTTTTAATCCTGTCTCCTTTCCATCCTCTAACC